GGGGGGGGGGGGGGCAGGCCAGGGACCCATCCTGCTGGAAGGCAGACCTTGGCAGACATAGGAAAACCTCTGTCCGGGGGAACCTGCCCTGAGAGTGTGGAGCCTCCTCTTGATGGAACCAGGAACTGGGGCACCCACGGGGGTGCAGTCATAAACTGCACCTCCAACCCCACCCTGCATACCATCCAGGAGGGGAAGCTGCTATAAAGCAGGGAGAAACTGGTTCACCCCCAGGGCCTGGCTTTTCCCGACCCCTCCCCAGTGAGTGCCCCCATAAACTATGACCTCAGTGTGATTAGAGAATCACAGGCTGCAAAGCCCATCCGCTTGTCATCTCATTGCATCAAGGAGGTGTGAAGAAGGGGAACCAAAACCAGCTCAGGCATTTCTGGGCTTTATCTTGGGGGAAGGGAGGGTGCTCCTTGACTAGGTCAAAAGTCCCAGAAGAACCCCGGTGGAGGAGGCCCCAACTGGGTGTGATTGGAAGGGCCAGAGATGAGAGCGAGACCCCGGGCCAGCCTGGGGAGGGGTCAGCGTTGGGGTGAATCTGGGCTCAGGCACACAGACCAGTCTCCATCAGGAGCTCTTGCTTTCCTTGAGGCTGTTCCACTCTGGAAATAGCTTTAAAAATGGTCATGGATTTTGCACTGAGAATCAGGACACAGGAATGAGCATTCTCTCACAGGCGATGGGACAACATATTTCAAATCAGTCCTGACTCAGGCGACAGCTTCGAGAGATTGCTGTACACGCCCAGGAGACACACACCTGTCCCTCAGACTGCATGACCCTGTCTCCAAAGTGCAAACTGATTTGGAGAGTCAAGTCGGACCCCTTAAACCTAAAGACTAGGTGCAGGGGTAGGGACAGTTTAAAGTCTCCCCCCAGAACCGCATCCAGAGCAGCACTGTGTCCTAAGAGCCGAAACCCTTGGGGAGAGAGAGAAAAGGAGCCTAGCAGGCTCGCTCTTGAACCGTGGAGCAAGGAAAGGAGAAGCTTGACAAACGGCAGGCCAGACTCAGATGGTCTTTGGGGAGGGTGGTCTTCCATAGGAAGAGCAGGGGAAGGGACGCAGACTTCTCCCTCACCCTTAGCCCAGTCTCATTCCTCCAGACCCCACACCCCTCTAGCCACTGAAGGGTAGAATGAGAGACGCCCTGGCTGACTCCGCTCACAGCTCCTGACTCTTGGCTGTGATATCAGGACAAGGGCATAAACAGAGAGGGGCCCGTGTGTGGTCAGAGCGGTGATCTACATCTGCGTGTAGATGCCTCAGGCCGCTGGAGTCCCAGGCCTCTGCCTGGGTGAGCCATGTGCCCAGGAAGCCTGCCCTCCCTCAGGCTGAGAAGCAGAGCCAGGTTGGGGCATCACTGGCTGCATGACAGACAGGTGAGAAAATAAACGGCTCTCATCCAGGTGCTGAGCTGCATGAAGATCATGATGAAAACCAGCTCAGTCCCGGGCAGGGCTGACTGCCAGAGGATCCAAGTATCTAGGAGCTGGGAGCAAAAGGCATTTGAGGGCAGGGCTGGGCCCCCTTTCTGCAATAGGGATCCCTCCCACACACTGGAGTTCAAACATTCCTCTTCCTCCCAAGGGCCCCAACCCAATGTTGTACAGTTCTGCCTGTTAAAAGATTCTTTCTCCTCTGACTGAAACCCCCGCAACCCCAGCCTCCGCCCATTCCCTCAGGCCCGCCCTCTAGAACCTCACACAATAAGCCCAGTTTGCCCTCTTGCCCATGGGGGCTCTTGTCAGTCCTCGAAGAAGAAAGCTCTCTAGGACCTGTCTTCTCTTTACCCAGTACCTGAAAATGTACTCCCAAGGTGGGGATATCAGACCCCTTGGCCAGCTGCTCACCTGTGTCCAGACCAAACAAACTGGGCTGGTGCCAGATGCCCACCTGCAGGCTTCTGTCACCTAGAGGAAGGTAACAGTAGCACTTTTGGCAGCCACATCACCCTGTTGACTCATCTTAAGCTCACAGTTAAACTCTCAGGTCCTTTTCTCATAAACTATGACTAAGCCTGATCTTCCCTACCTTATCCCTGCGCAGTTGGAGCTTTAACCCTGAGTCTAGCTCTGTTTTCCTTATCAGTTCCATCTGGTCAGTTTGAGCGCATGGCTCCAGATTGTAGAGAACCCCGCATTGTGCTACAGTACCCGCCAACCACGTCATCCAAGGCAGGGCAGAGAGTGAAGGAGGAGCGGACCCAGGACACGTCCCTGGGATGCCTTGGACACCCCTGCCCACCTGCCTTCGGAATCCCAGGCAGCAAACATTCGCTGGCCTCACGCTGGCCATGCAGGGAGATATGGCAGCTTCAGAATTTGGAGTCAGATGGAGCTTGGAGACCTTAATTATACAAGGAGGGGCCTGGGTCCTACAGTGGCTCCTGAGGAAAGAAGGGAGGGGCAGAGAATGGAAGGAGAAGAGTAACATTTGTAATTCCCCTATCCGCCCTTCTCCTGGCACCTGACAGAATGTTCTAGCCCTTTCCTGCCCCGTCCCCAGTGCTCACAGCCACCTGCTACCCATGTCCCTGGCTCTGACTCAGCTTCGCCCCAGTCATCGTGTCTGCTTCCCTTCTTTGGGGCACGGGTCCCCGACCAGTGTGTAAGGTTGGGGACCTACCTGGCCCCTCGCTATCATGGCCCCACCTGGGCTCCTCTGTATCTATTCAGTGTGTGCACTGCCAGTGTGTGCACACGTGAGAATGCAGGAGAGGAGAGGGCCGGTTTCTGCTGGGCCGGTGTGTGCTCCCTCTGTGCGTAAGTCTGGCAGAGCCCCTTCTGCATCACAGGCCTCTGGGCGTTCAGAATTCCTGATTCTCCACCTCCCACCAGGCCAGGGCCAACCCGGCTGGGTTTGGGGAAGGATGGGGGTGCCTGATCCCCTGGGTATGGGAAGTGGCTTTACACTGGCTTCTACACCTGCCACTCCCAAGCCCTCAAAATGTCTGTTTGATACCTCCTGCCAAGGTGTACTGCGAACTCCTAGCACCCCTCAAAACAGCCCCCTCCCTTCTTCCCCTCTCTGCCTGAGCACTTTGCCAAACAAACACCTCTTGCTTGGCAAAGAGGAAGAAATAGTCCCCTACCCCCAACTTTCATCTAGACCTGGGTTCTCAGGAGATGGGGCCTCTGGTGTCCTGGGGACACAGCCCACTGCATTGGCTTTAAATGAGAAATAAACTAATCAACCTGGATGCTTCTGAGAGAGAGGACTTGAGTGTTTCTCATGAAGGGCTTTCTGGTCAGACAGGCGGCCTGCACCTAAGCCCTCCACTGGGCGGGGGGACAGCCAGGCTCCCACCACGGCCAGTGCAGGTGGAGTCGCCCCACTGACTGCTCCAAGCTCTGCATCTCTCCTCCCTCTGAATTGCTTTGCTCTGCATGAAGACTGCCCTTCTTACTGTTTCCCCCCTCACCTCCTGCTGGGTTCCAGTATGAATCAAATGGTTGTATTCAAAGATGACACTGGAAATAGCTCTTACTACAGAGAGAGGACCCAAGGCGGGCTAGGCTGTCAAGGGCACTGGAGGTGGCAGGACCTGCGGAAGGGGGGAGCGGTGCCTGAGTGTCCGCTGAGACAGAGACGTCCTGAGCCTCAGAATAGCTGCTCTGGAAACTGCCCCAGAGCGGTGCAGGACCCTGCTGCGCCCCTCAAGGGCCAAGCTCGTGGCCTCCGAGGCAGACGCCGAGGCTGCGCCGGCTGTGCGGGGAGCAGGGCCCGCGCGGGGACGCCGCCGCCTCCCTGGGGAGGGAGTGTGGTGTGGGTGGGGGAGCCAGGACGGAGGAGGATGGGGGTGGGGGCCCCGGGAAGGAGGCACAGGAATTGGGCAAGTTAGGAAGGGCTGTTTAGCAGAAGGAAGAGTTTGAGCAAAGTTTTGGGGACCAGCATGCGCCGGGTGTCGCGGGCGGCGGGGGAAGGGCAGGGCTCCAAGG